TTGCGAGCATTTTACTCCGTACTTATAAGAAATGTACCGGTATGGTATTTGTTAGACAGTTGCAGTGAGGCCGTAAAGTACGGTACATGTATAAATACCGGTACAACTCGCCACAAGACCTCTTTGAATTGATTGCCAATGGCCAATAAGACAAGTCACAATTCGAGGTGCATGTTCTCTTTTTTACAATTATTAAATAGTCGAGAACATGTGACCAGTACAGTAATAGTAGAGAATTAAAGCTCGTTTATCTGCCAGTCCGTCCCATGGTAGGGTTAATTAAACTCACGCTAATACGAGCATGCCGATCCCTGGTGATTTGGTGCATTGATCCTGACGTGGTCAATTTTGTAAAGTCGAAACTCAGTTCGGACTACTTTTTGTGACCAAATACTGATTCCACGCCGAAAATGATAGCTATCACCTGAGCTGGTAAGCCTCACGCGGTGCGAGCCGTACCAGACCATTGGCTCTTTGCTGGATCTATTGTGTCTAAATAAGCTCACCAGGATGCTCATCAGTAATGCCTTGTTGGGCTGGGCTAATTACAAACGCTCCAGATGTAATACGGCAATTGCGATCTAAAAAAAAGAATCAAGCGTATCGATTATAGGGAGGATCAAAACTGACCCGAGCGCAGCGAAGGCGGCCCCAATTGGCTAAATTTGCATTATGTGGTCTACACATCGTACTTTAAAACACCGCTCAAATTTCATTTTGCCCCATTTTCATCGCCAGGCCACGCAAAGGGCGCCGCCTGTGTGTGGGTTAGTTTGCATTGATTGACCTTGTTGACGTGTACACACGTATTATATGTTTTATGAGCTGGTAGTATAATTTGTAGGACCTGATGACGCCAATTTCGTTTTAAATAGTCATTTTTGTACTTATTGCTGGCAAATATAATGTTTATGCTTCGTAGTACTTCTACAATAATTAAACTTACAATACTGATATGCGTAGTACTATTCTGAGTAAATTTCATTTATTTACTTTCAGTTATTTGTAGTAGTAGTGCACGTAATCATTATATCAGCCATAGATAAAAATACAAAGTGCTATTATTAGTATGTAGAGCTAGAAACTAGTAAATATGAATGAAGTGGTCCCACAAACACCACTCGCCGGCGAGAAAAATTAACGAATTATTTTGTATTTGCGCACGTAGTGTGCGCCCTTTGAACACGATACATTCTGCACATCAAACGCACTGGAAACAGGGTCTGTGATTGACAGAGGTTGGAAAAAATAATATCAGTAAAAACCTATTGCATTTTTGTACAAAATAACATTTTATTGCTCCTTCTCCCTTCCAATACCTAATAAATACGTAACATATTCTGCAATACTTAATGGGTTACGAAATGTAGGTATAAATCAAACTAGGGCTAATGTATCTATTGCAATAATCGGCCAGAATCCCATATTAATTAGTGGTCCTGTATTTCAATGTGTATTACTGAGCTTGAAAAAAAGAATATAATAACATATATTTTTTCCAGGTGATTAACACCTCTAGCCCGGTATTCTGTATTCTACAGAATAAGCGTTTATGCAAGATGATTTATCCAGCAAACTTGGCTACCTGCTTCTTGATCGCATATAGATTTTTGTACATGTAAAATTAGTTGAACTTTCATAGTCGATAGTCAAGGGGTAGCTAGACGGGATTTTTACCCCGGTAGGCTATAAACTCCAAACAGGTTTGAAAATCCGAGCAAATGCCCTCACTGGTCGTGCGAAAGCTGCCTTCCTCTCCCTCATTTTGAAAAGATGAGCGGCCCAGGAGAGAAGACAGCTATGGCGCGAGCTCTGCAAGGACGGATGGAAGCCGCGCAAGTCGACTGGCATGGCTAAGGACCACCGATATGTCAGACCTGGAGTCAAAGGGCGCCTGGATGAATCAAGACGTGGAATTGATTTTTTATGAAGGAGAATACTGCGCTTTGGTGCTGAGACTACACAGCTAACAGTGCTTTGTATTGACAGGTGAGGCTGAGCTAATGGTATTTGCGCGCCGGTCTGGTTGGCTTGAATTGCCAGTACCACGAGTCGGCATCACTGTTCGGCTCCGATGGGCAAGCTAGCTGCGTATGCAGTGGCCGGGAGGCAAGTGCCATGCCCCGACGACTCGAAACCTACGACGTTAATTTCTGTGGGCTTGGGGCAGGCGCCCGCTTCGCCTTCGGTGACCGCCCCTGTGAGCCAGTCTCTCACCGCCCTGCCCTCAACCTGCTCGATAAGTCGTGAATTGGAGGAGGCAGTTGCTGAAGTGGACCGAGCCGTCGATCCTGACGATATTCTAGAATCTACAGAACAAGCCTTAGGACCATGCATCACTATTCCGAAGTCTACAGAACATACCGGTGTGGAAAGGTTAGCTAGTTTGAACGACGAAGAGACCAGCAGTGTGCATGGCGAAGCCGTCGAGACCGTGAGTACTGACGTCTTCGACAGCGGCCAATTTATGATGGGCTGCGAGCGGAAAATCCATTCGATTCGATCCCTGATGACGACGTGAATCTGGTGGTTGCAGCGGACCTGAGCGACTCAAAGTCTGGTGCCGACGACGATAATGTCATGGAAGACAACCAGTGGCCCCCGGAGACGACGGAAGGTGTAGAAGACTTAGAGGAGTTTGATATAAATGAAGATGACAGCGGGTCATTTGACATGACGACCGATCAACTTCGCGCAATCGCTGAGTCTGGTTGGGTTGCCTACGGTGAAGAGCACAGTGGTAAGTCTGTAATATACAGAATAACGTATATTTTACTGCTAATTCTGCATTATTAGTTTTTATTATGATATAGAAAATCTTAAACTGGATGCTGCCACAAATTATTTTGACGGACAATGGGGCCCCACACAATCACCGGTCGCATACGCAGATTCTCTGCTCGGCATGTTCTTTTACTTCCTTCCAAAACAGCTGTGGGTACGCCTCGCTAAAGAGACTAATCGCTACCGGGATCAGAACATACCTACGATTGCTCTGTCCCGACGCAGCAAACTGCTAGACCGTCAGGCCAAGGATCCGCACGTTAGTGTCTAGAAACTGGAGGATGTTATTGCCGACCTCAACAAGTTCAAGAAGGTCGAGCCGCACGAGATTGTGCACGTGATTGGACTTCTTATTGCTAGATCTATAGCGCCTATCCGCGATAGCCTCGCTAACCATTGGAGTACTGAAGAAGACGGAGCGGTCCCTCGTGGAACTTTTTTGCGCTTCATGAAGCGAGATCGCTTCGAAGCCATCATGCAGTTCCTGCATTTTAACAACAACGAGGGGAACGGAGCACACGAAGACAAAGCTCGGAAAATTTGACCAGTTATGCATGCTGTGGAAAAAACCTTTTGGCGTAGATATCGGCTGGGTAGAGTTGTGTCTTTCGACGAAGGCATGATGCCCAATTGCAGCAAGTACAACCCGATGCAAGTGTTCATGCCTGACAAGCCCAGCAAGTACGGAACAAAATTTTACATGACGTGCTGTGCAGAGACAGCATATTGCTTAAGGTATGCAAACACTGCTCTATTGGTTAACGTTTATATTCTGGATCCTACAGAACTACGGACTCATACTAATGGTATTCTGTATTTGATCTACTGCGGTGCTGAAAAACACAAGAGTAAGAAACAATCTCATGACACCTTGGGTTTGGGCCCCCAATCTGTCATTCGGAACCTGTCAAAGGCGCTGGTTGGGCAGCCTGTGAAGCATTGAATTGGCACGGATAGTTTCTATTCGTCGGTGGCGCTCAGGCTGAGGCTCCTGAGTATGGGTCTGTATCATGTAGGCACAGCACGAGTTGACCGGCTGGGTTGGTGCCCAATCCACTTCACTCAAAAAAACGAGACCAAAACGAATCCCAAGAGGAACGTACCGGATTGCGCAGTCTCGTGAGCACCTAAACAGCTAGTTGCGTTGAGCTGGATGGACTCGAAGCCAGTCAACATGCTGGCCACCGGATGCAGCACGCATCTCACAGGCGTGCAGCGCACCGAGAAGGATGGAACGCGAAGCACAGTACCGTGTCCACAGCTGGTCGTGGACTACGGAATAGGCATGGGGGGCGTGGATGTCCACAATCAGCTGCGGCTGCAGAGGTACAGCATTCAGAAGGCCATATCGCTGCGCAAGTACTACAGGCAGCTGTTCCTGTGCATTGTGGACATGGCCCTGGTAAATGGGTACATTATTCGCTGTATCACGACAAAAAGACACCGCAAGAATCCACCTCCGCACGCTGAATATCTACGCCGCTTACACACGCATCTACTCGGCCGCCGTACGATCAACTATTAGACGCACATGAACGCTGACGACCTGATTTCTGTACCCGTCCCAAGGCAGCAGCACACGTTAGTCAACACAGACGATTTCTATTCATCAAGCAAGCAACACAAGCGTCGGCAGTACCTGTGTAAAGTGTGTTCCGCTTTTGCGACCAAGAACAAAAAGTCTTTTGAGACAATTTACCATTGCCAGGACTGCAAATACATCTTTGGTGGTCGCGTTGCACTTCGCGACGACATCCGCCGAAAGGAGGAAGGCAACACGAAAACCTGCTACGAGGTTTGGCACGAACTCTGGAACGACGGCAAGAGCATCCCGCCAGGGCTAAAAAAGAAAATCAGGTTGCGTAAGCGTAAGAGGGAGGAGAACTAGCGTGCGAGGGTAAGTATAGGAAGGATAAATGACGGAACGGTCACTCACTAATCTCACTTTCCATTCTGCTTCCTACTACGCACCTTTACCTTTCAACAGGTTTTGAGCCCAGATGCCAACGGAGACCGACCGCGCAAGGGCCGCCTCCGTCGATGGAGCGGAGAGCACCGCCGACGCCCGCGCAAGGGGAGACGGCGACCACGGAACAGGACGAGGCGTCGGAGCTGCTGAGGCTGCTCCGCGGCGTCGCCGGCCGACTGGACAAGCTGGAGGAGTCCCAGGTGAAGCTCGAGAAGCGTTTGAGACGCCCAAACAAGACCCGAAGTCCATGGTGGACACGAGCCTCTTCGCGTCGGCCCTGGGACGCGGGTCGAGGATGCACATCGACTCATTGAGCGGCACGCCGCAGACGCAGGCCCCTCGCCGGCCGACAGTTCACCCGCAGTATTTCGGGCTGCGACACGCGGATGTCGGGGTCCACGAGACGGGCATGTCTGAGCTGCAAAGGCTCTTCGCGGAGGAGCACGCCGCCCAGGCAAATAAAGAAGCACAGCAACCGCCTGCGGCGCCGGTACCAGCTCAAGCACAAGCCACGCCTGTGCAGAATCAGGGCTGGGCGTTCCGATACCCGGACGCCCGTCAAAAGAAGCTTGCGATCCGCCCGTTCGACGGCAAGGAGCTGTACGTCGGGCTGGGCTCCGGCTTCCTGGACTGGGGCACAAGATTCGAGCGGCAGGTGGCGCTCGGGCAGTCGGCGTGCGGCTTCGCGTGGTCTGAGGACGTGAAAGTAGACCTTCTCGGCCACTACCTGTATGGTACGGCCGAGAGGTACTACAACAAGCAGGTGGACACGTGGTGGAAGCCAGTTGCCCACATTGCAGTACGTCATGGAACGGATGTTGGACGCGTTCAAGACAAACATTACCCCCGCCCAAGCCATGAAGCTGTTCACGGCGCCGAAGGACACAAGAGATCGTGGCCCGAGCACTACATGTACCTCGTGGCCATCTCCGAGACCACGGGGGGCGGCGCCGACTACTTGGTGCTGAACAACATCGTTCAGTACGCCTCCGCAGAACTACGTACGGTGTTGATGGCCAAGGTGGACCAGTTGCGTACCGATTTCCTGCAGCACGCCGAGGAGCTCGCACACTTCGCGCAGTCGTGGGAGACCGACGCGACCAAGCAGAAGTCGCTGGGCCGCGAGACGGTCAACGTGGTGAAGGACCACACCAAACAGCGCAAGGAGACACGGAGCTGCCACGAGTGTGGCCGTGTCGGACATCTACGGGCAGCGTGTCCAGACCTCAAGAAGCCAGGGGACATCACGCTGGCCGTCGGCGAGCACACCAGCGACACTACCGACCTGTGGATCCTAGACAGTGGTTCTAGTCGTCACCTCGTGAATGATGAGTCGTTCCTCGAGGACGTGGAGGAGTGCAGCGACGAGTGCGTGCAACCCTACGGTGAGCCGTTACACATCACCAAGCGCGGCAATGTGCTGCTGTGCGTCACAGCGTGCGGTGAGGAGCAAATGGTGGAGCTCACTAACGTCTACTTTGCGAAGAACGTGGTGCACAACCTGATCTCCTACGGGATGATCGACAAGCGAGGCTTCGAGCTGACTCACCGTGCCGGAAGACGCGTCGTAGCGGCCAAGAACGGCGGACGCGTGGCGTTTGACGTCGAGATGCGGAGCAACGTCTTGGTCGTGCCTGCCGTGGTGGAGCCGAGGCGCGAGCTGCCATCGAACGTGATCATGGCTGCTTTAAGCCGGGAGCTCACGGAGTCTGCAGAGGTGCCAAGGGACGTGCAGCAGGGCACACTGCTGAATTTCACAAGCGTCTGGCCCACCTCAACTACGACGTGGTGGAGCTGCTGC